TTTAATGTAATCTTTCCATTGACCTTTAACCTCATTTCCTTCTATTAATCTCTTTGGTGATTTATCTTGAGTTTTTCTACTTTAGCTATAAATTTTTCTATGATTTCTCTAATGTTCTTAAAAAGATACTTGTTCTTTTCCTCTGTTAACATTCTAGATTGTAATACCTTTCCTTGTCCACATTGTTTGACAATTAAAGTCTATGTTCAGATGTCCTTCTTGTTGTCCAAGGCTTTCATTTTTCATCTTTCCCTAGTTATCCTGATAGCTAGTTCTGAAAACTATGTGGATCTTTTTCTCTTTTCAGTTTTGGGAATATTTTTTCTCTTTTGGCTTTCATAGTATTACTTTGCCCATAACAGCTCAAGTTCTCTTTTACAGAATAAGTGCCCCCATATATATTCATTATATTGGTATTATGTTTTGTCTGTATGCTTTCCAGATTGGATAAGTCCTGGCACATCTATTCGTTTTAATTTTCTGAGTTCAACTGATAATTAACTGATTATTAACACCAATAATTACTAGCTTTACCATACTTTGCATCTGGAAATATCCTGGTTGATTGGATTACGCATCTCCATCTTCTGTTTCCAATTATGTATTCTATTTGGTTTTGATGACGTCCATGCAGAGAAAATGCCTTAATATTGAAGCAGAAGTTAGTGTGATAAACAAAAGTTCTCTTGTAAACTCTTTTAAACTACCTTTTACATTATCATGTTTACCCCAATTCAATTCCTCCTGTGATTGGAAGTTCCACTATATTTGTACCATGTCTTCTTTACGTTTATTTCTCTAGTAAATCTTTGCCTTATCTTTTATCATGCCCATCTTTGCATAAAAGGGTCCCTTTGTCTGTGAATTTCTATTAAATATACTGTATATCTTAGCCTTCCCATTCAATTGTTATCCTAAATAATTGTTTCTTATTTAGATTTAATTTCTTGTCTTACTCATCTCTGGAACTCAGTACTTAGTTGGGCAAATTTTCCTTTGTTTCTGTTGCCTTTTGTTCTCTACTTTCTTCAGCTATATTCCACCTGTCAGAAGATAGCCATTTCTTCTTTGGTTCTTTGCATTTTGGGATGTTTGCTTAGTCTTTAGTGATGTCACAATTTTAGTCCAGAGTTCTTCAAGCATCCTGTTTATCAACTCTAATCCATTTATTCTTTATCTTCTCTGCATAATCTTATGGATTATTGCTGAAGTCATATATCTTTTTGGGCTGATAATTTTGTTTTCTTTGGTTAAAGTTGTAATTTTCAAGAAGGTGTTGGTGACCTGAACCATAATCAGTACTAGGTCTTATTTTTGCTGATTAAATATAGCTTTTCCATCTTTCTTTGCAGAGTATATAATCAATCGGGTGTTTTCTGCCAGTGATATCCACATGTAGGTTATTTTCTATAAGCACTGAATTTTCTTGGCAGAACTCTTTTTCCTGTCTCATCTTTTATAATAAGGCCAAATTTCCCCCTCATTTTAGATGCTATTTTACTTAAAACTTTAGCATCCCAGTCTCTTATAATTAGTTTGATATATTTTTTTAGTGTTACATTGACATGGTTTTGCAGGTTGTCATAGAACAGTTAAACTTTCACTTCCTATGCATCTGTGGTTGGAGCTAGATTTAGATTGTTGTAATATTGATCAGTTAGCCCTGAATTCAAATAATTCTGTTATTGTGGAGATTGTATCCTAGCATAGACTTTGACACCTTTTTGTTAATGGCTACTCAGTTTCTTCTGTCATTTTCTTCTCCAGTAGATCTGATACTCCCTTGATGGGAAGTGACCCATTCCAGTCCAGTTTGCTGATTGCCAGAATGTTAACGTTCAGTCATGACATTTCTGCTTGGAAAACAGTTCTGACATTCCATGTTACCAGTGCTATACTGTACATATCTTTGTAGCACAAATCTTTCCAGAGGAAGGCCATTCCATAATATGAGGGCTACAACTGAAAAACATTGCCTGCAAGGCCTTGCCCCTTCATTTCACATAACTGGGAGACCATTAAAAGATGTCAGTAGTATGTGTACACTAAGCAAGCTGGATCTCTAGCTACATCAACAACTGGATATCCTCTTGGCTTTAACTCAGCCACATCATAGTTGCTAGTCTACCTATCTGTTCTTCCTTAGTAGTTCAGCTAGCTTTTTATGTGGGATGCCTCATCTCCATCATTATGTGGATGTTTTAATTGTTGTTAATGTTCATTTGGCTTCCTTAACAGAAGACGGAGTTTCCATGTAATTCTTCAGTGAATTGTATTTACCATAGAATTCTAGTTGTCTTCCTCCACTGCATTAATAGTTTGTGAATGCGTGTGTATACACACACAGAGGTAGTCTTCAACATACAACCACTCATTTGGCGACCGTTCAGAGTTATAATGACACTGAAAAAGAGACTTATGACTGGTCCTCGCACTTACAACAGTCACAGTGTCCTGCGGTCATGTGATCACCATTTGTAACCTTCCCAGCTGGCTTCCAACAAGCAAAGTCAATGGGGAAGCTGGCAGGGAACATCACAAGTTGTAGTCATGTGATGTCTCGCTTAATGACCACAGTGATTCGCTTAATAATCACGGCAAAAAAGGTTGTAAAATCGGGTGCAGTACAGCTAGTCCTCACTATCTGACCAGAATAGGACCAGAATTTAGGTTGCTAAGCAATTTGATCATTAATCGAATTGGCGCTAATTTTACAATCTTTTTTACGATGGTTGTTAAGCAAATTATCGCGGTCATTAAACAAATCCAGCTTTCCCAATGTTTTTGTTGAAATTCGCTTAACGATCACGTGATTTGCTTAACGACCGCAGTTATTCACTTAATGACCGTTGTAAAAAGGTCACAAATTACGATCATGTGACCGTGGGGGGTTGTAAAGCATTTTTCTGGAGCTGTTGTGACTCCGGACAGTCATTAAATGAATGGTTGTTAAGCGAGGACTACCTGTAGCTCATTCCTATCCATCTAAACTTACTTATTCCTAAAACATCTAATTTGATAAACTACATTTCTGCTTTGACAATTTCAAGTTCTCTTTTATTATGCTTCTCATATTCCATGTTCTGATTGGATGTGTCTGTAATTGCATAGTACATTTTCATAATTTAATATGAAATCCTTGTTCAACAGCCCATATGCTTTGAATGCATGTTGCATGTTTAGTGGCATTTTTTATTTTTCAAACTTATAGGTTCATAGCTAACACCTTTATGGGCATAATTAGAATATGCTTTACATCAGTAGCAAGGATTTCAATGTATCTTGGGTTGTTATTCATTAGTAAGCAATCAGATTATCTGTGTTGTCCTGAAATTGCATTACAGTTGTCTATATCAGTATATGTTAAGGTAAAGTTGTTGATGACATGTTACTTGTGAATACTTGTCATTGCTTGTAATTCTGTTTTGAAGTTGGTTCCTACATTTCAGTTTAGTTGCTTTAGGGGATGTTTTATTTAAATAGTAAATGTCCTTGGTTCAGAATTTAGTGCTGCAGGAGCGTTGATTAGTAACTTATTCCAGAGACTCTCTGAAATATGAAGAATATTTTATAAGATTTATTACTTCTTCTATTTAAAACCAAGACCAGGAGGATTTACATTCAGTTAAAAAACTTAAACTTTATAACAGCATTATCAAAAAAATGGAAGAATGCAGCTTAAAGTTTAAACTGTTTAGATCTTGGCCAAAGAAAAAAACAAATATGTTTGTTTTCTATCTGAGTACTAATAATGAAACATTACAGCAGTCCTCCTGGGAAACTAGTTCAAGAGATGTGGTGTCACTATGGAAAAAGCTTTGTCTTAAGCCCCTGAAGACTTTACCTTGTGCATAAAGAGAAACATAAGTACTAGTTGTACACAGGAAGCCAGTCAGAGAAACAGGCATAGCAAATGCAGTAGAGATATGGATTTGATGTGCTTATTTTCTTGATACATATAGGAAGTTGTGCCTTTATATAGGATAATTATTTAGGTTAAAATTAAAAATACAAATAGTTGGTATCCTGCAGCTAACATTTTGGTCTTAGTGGCAATACATTCTTGATCTGATTTATTATAGAATACATGACAAACTGATACTACTTTGAAAGTAGTTTGTTAAACCCAACTTTTCAACGAAGTTGAAGATCGATAGATCAATAGAGGGTAAAATCAAAAATAAATCTTTTTATATATAGTAGCAGAAAAATCTTTTGGGACAGTTTTAACATTTTATCAACAATCCATCCCTTGAACTGAATTAATCCAGCAATGCATCTACTTAAAAAAGCTTATTTTACTACAAATACATTTCCAGTCCAGTGATGAATATTCATGTGTCTGGTTGTAATGATTTTCTAGTATCTCATTCTGCGACTGTTGTAACTGATTTTAATCTTACTTTTTTCAAATTAATTGAACTGCATAGTTTCTAAATAAATTTTTGGTTTTTTTTGCAGGAAAATAGAAATAGTGCAGTTTGCAAGTCGTACACGGCAGCTATTTGTCCGATTATTAGCCTTGGTAAAATGGGCAAATAATGCTGGGAAGGTTGAAAAATGTGCGGTAAGTTTGAGTGTTCATGAGTAATGCCCAGTGAAATAAATGGAAGCAAGGTATGTGCTACATTCCACCCAGCTAAGATCATTGTAGTATATTGGTTACCAAATTTCAAATGCTAAAATGCCATGGACATTACTTTTCATTTAAAAAAAAAAACTCATCTGGTGTCAGAGATAGATAGGAAAATGCTACTTCCTTCAGATGTTTTGGACTTCAGCTAATATTTGAGGAGGTGCTGAAAGGTGCAGTGTGTGCTGCCACGCCCACTCCAAAGCACCTTTTTGGATCTCCAAATGTTGCACATCCTGTAATGGCATGTGAGAATGACCTTGGGAGACAGGGCTACAAGATGCAGCCAAGGGAATGGTCAGATAAAAGGCAGCTTAGCTTGCAGCAGGAATGTGGGTGGGGCAAGAGGCTCAGAAGAGACCCTCCCTAGTTTCTTGGGCTGTAAAGGAGATGGGAGGAGAGAAGTACTTTAAGACTTGCAAGATTCTGTTAATGTAACCTTAGCTCACCTGGTCATGTTTTCTGTGTGGTCTACCTAGTCAGGCTGACACATCCCTACTTATTTCCAGCCGTGAAATTCTTAGGCTGAACTGATCTCTTTTTAAAGTCGGTTAGAAATAAATTATTTAAATAAAGTGCCTTCCACCTGGAAACATCAAATCCAGATTCCCGAAGGCAATGCTTCAAATCCCCAAGAGTTATCAGACACCTTCCTCCAGCTGGGTCCTTAAGTAAGTTTGGCTTCTATGACAATCTTGGATAAATTTCATTCAGCCTGTAGCTAGACTATTTGGATTAATTGCAGATCTCTGGTTTTTCTGCATACTTTTTGCATTCCATGGTTTGTGACCAAATTAGAATGCTTCTTAAACAGAAAATCCTAGATGTTGCATGGGAAATGAGTTGAATCTAGTTCCTGTTAGCTCCTAGAGTCTGAGGCCAGCCAAATGTTGTCACCCTAGTATTGCCTACATCATTGCAGTGGCATTTCTCGCTAATATCCTTAAATCTTTTCTGCTAGAAGGTAGATTTAGTAAGATGACCTATAAGGAATGCACCTAAAATTGTGCTTCAGGGGTGGTTGAAACATGGGGGCATGTCCTGCTATACTGTGAGTTTGATAGTGATCTGAACAATAAACTTCTTAATCCCTATTAGTAAACTTTCCAGACCATCCAATGATGAATTCTTGCTCATGTTTTTACTATTACCTGTAAAGTGGCAAAATTTTGTACAGCATAAAGTGTGACAACAGATCATGAGCAGTTGCCAAAATTGGTAATCCATCTCACTCAGCATGTGTAGCAATTAATTTCCCATTGCTTTTTTGTAAATATTGTTCTGCTATGTATTGTTATCTTGTCTGGATGTTTTAGAGCTTGTAGGCTATTTTAAATTACTGGTCTTTGGCTATAAAAAAGTATTCATTCAAAAAAATCATTCATTGTTCCCAAGTGATTGTGTCTCTTTATGATATTCTCGTAGGTTTTTTCCTAGTTTTAGACTAATAACATAAGTGTTGGCAAAGGTGAGGAAATGAGCATTATAATATCATGATGCAAGCTCCTCCCCTTCTGTATGTTTGTCAAGGCTTGCATGCATGCACGTAAGGGCTGGAACTTTTGTGATGTCGTTTGTTTTGTCCTGCAGACACCTCTCATAATTTATATCTACTCTTAAATTGTATGTTTGTCTATAATTGCACTTTATCTAAACAGATTCTAGGGTAATGTGCAATAATTATAATGCAAAATAAAAATCTAGTCTAATAAAGATACCACAATAGTATTGGTGTAGCTAGGCTTTTGTTTCTGATCTCAACTTCAGTTTCCACTCAGGTGTCACACTTTTTCTTTCTTTCCACCCACTGGCAAACTGTCATGTATTCTCTTTGCTTGTGCTTTGGTGTCCATTTTGGTAGAAGCCAGGGTTTTCTCAGTATCAGGTTCCCTACCCTTCTCAGTTTGAGCAGTGGCCTTGTCACCTGTTACAATTCTGCAGCACTGCTTCCTTGTTTTCTTAGAGAAATCAACCTGTACATGTAAAGGTGCTGCTTGGACAAGCTATACTGCCAGATGACTATACAGATATTTGTTTGACAGGTTGTTGTTCCTCCTCCTTTTTCCATGGTTCTTCAATACGGTGGCCATAATTCCCAAATTGTCTTGCAAATACATGCTCTTGCACACCCAACTGCTGCACTTTCTTAATATGGTTTGTGTATTTAGTTAAGAAATATAATATATAGCCTTAAAGATTAATATTAATGGTAACATATTTTCTTATATAGACTACAATTTATTTTTTATTTTTATTTTTTATTAAATTTATCTCTGCCCATCTCCCCTGATGGGGGACTCTGGGCGGCTCACATAACCCATTAAAACAATAAATATATATACAATCACATAAAACATAAAAACTCTACAAAATGTTACTAAAAGAAAAGAAAAAAGAAAAAATCCAAGAGACTGATGGTTTCCAGGGCTGCAGAGGACAGGCCTCTAAGGGTTAGGGTTTATAATAAACAATGAAATAAACAATATTTATTTCACCATAAATTTTACCTTTTGGAATAGGAGACTTATAAATAGTTGTGTTTCATAGGAAAATTTAGAGATGATTTAAGAGAAAATAATTAAAGGAGGATTTATTTCTGTGTATAATTTTTTTTAACAGATGATATCAAGCTTTTTAGATCAACAAGCTATTCTATTTGTGGACACTGCTGATCGGTTAGCATCACTAGCCCGAGATGCTTTGGTTCATGCTCGTCTGCCAAACTTCGCTATCCCATATGCTATTGACGTACTGACAACTGGGTCATATCCACGATTGCCAACATGTATACGGGTAAATTGTTCTGTAATATTAAAAGGCTGTCTTAAATGCCCTTTTCATATTATTGCAAGGGCAGTTTTTTTCACAGCTTTGTGTCATTTCTGAATATAGCTTTGTTGAAATGCTTTTAGTCATTAGAATATTTACTGATTGAAACAAATTATTCCAAATAATTTTCATTGATCTTAAGACACCCTGCTGGGATAGATGATAATTAACCCACTATCAAACACCACATTAATACAGCGGTACCTCAGTTCACGAACTTAATTCGTTCCACGATTCTGGTCGCCAACCGAATTGGTCGCA